CCCCCCGGAGCTCCACCCACCCCAAGCACCGTGTGGGCACCCCGAGATGGAGAAAGAGGGATGCTTCAACCCCAGCCGAGCCTTGTCCTGTGAGCAGAGCGGGGAGCCCCGTCCTCGGGCTCCCTGCGAGCCACAGAGCAAGCGGGCAGCAGCTCCTGTGCTGCAAGACCCTGCTCGCTCCCGGCACAGCAAAGACTTCAGGGGCTTGTGTCCTGTGGCCTGACACCAGTGTCACCCTGCCACCTGCCCCTGGGGTCTGCTGTACAGAATCACAGAGTCATCGGGGTTGGAAAAGCCCTTGGAGCTCCTCCAGCCCAACCATGACCCTCCCCCTGACCATCCCCAACTCCCCCAGATCCCCCAGCGCTGGGTCAGCCCGACTCTTCAACCCCTCCCTGCCCTGACAGCCCATCCCAACGCCTCAACGTGGAGACCATGTGGAGATGGGGCCAGTGGTGCCACAGCGGCTCCAACGGAGGCTGCGCAGGAGGGAGCTGCCAACACCCGGCGGCCACAGTTCAGGCAGAGGGTACAGCTGACACCCCGGGCCGGGAACACCCCGCCGGCCACTTTGGGGTCAGGGGGCTCAAACAGGACCCCAGCGGCCTCTCCTGACCTTCAGGTTCACACAGACTAGTTACAGTCTGCAGGGCCAGAGTACTCATGGATGCCTGAGTCTCTCTTGGGTTGGCACCTCCTCTTCCCCTCTGCTAATTTTCAAGGTTCAACAGCCACCGACACACCACAACTAGCAGCAGCCCCCGTGGAGAAGAAAGCCTCCAGCGAGGAGAGTGACAGTCGTGTGCAAGGTGCCCAGGGAGGGGGGATTTAAGAAACCATTTTGACGAATCGTCTGGTGGGAAGTGGAAATAAAACTGAGCTTATCAAACTGTGCGAGCCTGGAAGCACCCGCTCTCGGGGCTGCCCCGGCAGGACCCAGGCACTGCTGCTTCCAGCGAGCCGGAACACACCTACCAGGGCAGCTCAGCCTGTGGGAAACGGCCAAAAGCTTCTTTATCAGCTCCTTACAACGAACACTCTGCCAAGCATCCTCTCCGGAGGTGGAGGAGCTGTCAGGGAGGCTTCAACACGTCGGAGGCGCCGCGCTGTGCACCGGGGCTGGGGGGCTGCGAGCGCACGTGCCCCCAGAAACCCGACAGCAGGGGCTCAGGGGAGAAGCGGGGTTTTGCACAGGCAGGTGCCTTGATCAGCCACAGGCTGGGCTCGGCTCTGGGATAAAGTCAGCGCTGTGCTGGAGCCAGAGCAGTGACCGGGTTCAAGGGTAGCTCTGGGGACGTGGGGGGTGTCAGGGACTCTCCCACCCCGGCCCCCTGCCCGGGGTCCCCAGCAGCTCTGCCGTGGAGCTGCCCAGCAGTTCTTTGGGCCCAAAGTCCAGCCAGATTTCTCACATCCAAAGCAGAAATGCCCCAAGGACACTCACACAGGAGGAGAAACCAGAGAAAAGGGGAAGCCCCAAGCCTGCCCTCTGGTTTGGCTGGGGCAGAGGCGCAGGTTTGGTGAAGGGTCCCAGAGCAGGCTCAGCCCTGTCCCTCACGTCCCCCAGGGGCAGGGGCAGCCCTGCCCGCCGCTGTGCCCGGCAGGGGCTGTGCCCGGCAGAGGCTGTGCCCGGCAAGGGCTGCCCCCGCAGCTCTGCCCCTGCCCCGCCAGCTGAGCCCCCTCCCCAAAAGCTCCCACTTACACCATCACGGCGGCAGCCCCGCTCCGGGCAGGGTGACTGACAACGTGTGTTTAGCCTCCACCTTCAGCTGCCTGTTACACTGCCTGCTCCCACTGGTTCTATTTTTAAGGGTGAGAGTTGTGGTGCACTGTCGTTTCCCCAATTCAATCTCTTTTCTCCTAGCAGTTCCCCAAATTAGCCAGTTTCCACAGGAAAACACAAAAACTGCCAGACAGACCTGAAAGGCGCTGGCAGAACCACGCCGAGGAGCCTAAGCCAGCTCCGCTCCGCTGCTCCAGCTCTCACTCGCCCCCGAAAGCCCGGGGATTCACCGGGAAAGCGAGCCCTTGTGAAAATGGGGACTCAGACAGCGGGCATTTGGGTGCTTTTCTGGTTTTTTAGAGAACGGCAGTGTTTTCCAACAGTCACAGCGAGACTGGTATTTCCCAGTAACTCCTGTCCCTGATGCCGCTGCCCGGCCAGCGCGTGTTTTCTGAGGGGGTCGAAGCCAAGGCAGCGGCACTGACCACACAAATCACAAGCAGTGAACATGAAAACGCGCCCGAGGGTTGGTTTTTTTTTTTTTCCCCTTGAGAAGATCAAACATATATATTGGTTTAATTAAACCTGCAAGATGATATAAAACAGGCTTGAAGAAACCGTGCGTGCTTTCAGGGAGAAGGCCCCGGGCGAGGAGCGGGGGTGCTGCAGGTCTGGAGCCCCGCACCGGGAACGCCGCACGACCGCGGGGTCACGGCGTGGGGCAGCCGGAACTTGGGAAAAAGTGCCGAGCTGAGGGGCAGCAGGGACAGGCACACTCCCCGGGGCTGACTCTAGTCTAGCGCAACAGGAGGCATCTGTCAAACCACAGCTGATTCTTTCAGGTATTTCGCTCGTGACAAAAGGAATTGATCAATTGAAACAAACCCCGCCAGAAGAGAGAGTCCTCCTCAGCTCAGGGCACTCTGGCCAAAGACTTAAAGCAGCTTTTTAACACCCAGTGCTTCATGCATGTTAACTAACCCCAAAACTAAAACCTCGGTTCGGGTGGCAGACCCTGGAAATGTCACTGTACCGATGGGGAAACTGAGGCTGCGGCTCAAGGGACTGAAGGGAGACGGGGTAAGGCTGCAGGCTCAGCCCCGAACGGAAACGTCTCTGCATCCCTGCAGGTTCTCCCTGCTCTGCTGAGAGCACGTTAGTGGACGATTTGAAAGTGTTTTAAGTGTCTCCAAAAGACATGAGAGCCCACACAACTGTGAATAACAATGAATTAGAGATGCCGGTGCAATAATGGCACAGAAGTGTCGTCAGCCGAGAAAGCTGCAGGAACATCATCTCCAAACTGCTGTGAAACACGGCGATCCACAACCCACCGCTCCGTGCCTTCCCTCGGAGCACCAGAGCGCGTACTTACATCCGAGGCAGGGCCTTTGTCAGCACCGGGGCAGGAGAAGGTAACGAACTCATGGCACCGCTTGTGCACGACGAAGCAGCAAACTGCAAAGAGAAGAGAGGGACAGCGTCAGGGATCGGCACCACGTGAATCCAGAGCTGCAAGAAATAAAGAGCTGTTACGTCTGATTTATGAGAAGAGGCATAGAGGACTCTAAGCAGGCTTCTTTATGGTAAACCTGCCGCAGATTTTTAAACCTTACCGAGTATCATCAACTGACCAGGCATTTCAGCAAAAGTAAGCAGAAGCAAAATGTTGAGCAAATATCAAAGGCGGGCTGAGAATCCTCATGTTCTCTCTGAGCTCACTGTCACTCGCAGCACATGCTCTGAGGTCACCGCCGTGTATAAAAAGAGGGAGAATCTGGCATTCGTGGGTATCTAAGCTGAAAAGTGCATGTGTCCAAAAATGGAAGATTGTACCGATAGGAACAGGTGGGCAATTTTCCTCCCACAGCTCTGCTTTTCCTCAGCAACTCCACAGCCTCCATTTGCCAGACCAGAAGACACGTACGTCTTCCTCTCCTCACGCACGCAAGGCGATGACAAAGTCACCCTTCTGGGAACGGCACAGGAAAATTAATCCCAACGTGCCATCACCCAGACGTTCAAGCGTAAGTATCCAGAGCTAAACCCACACCCCTTAAACCACCAAACCCTTACGGCACATGCTAATCTCAAGCTGCCAGCAGTATTTTTCCAGTCTGTTCAGTCAAAGCGTTGTACTTAAAGGCTAATTTTTTCCCTAAATGCCAAATAAGCACCTTACTTTCAGAGACAGACTTTAAAGAGGCCCCTCGGCACTGCAGGTGACCTCAGCTGGCGGCCCAGGTCCTTCCTGGGGGTCTCAGCCCCCCTCTCCCTGCAGCTGGAGGTGGGTGCACAGCTTTGAGAAGATGGGGTGCCCCAGGCCTGGGGAACAGCAGCACGGCCTCGCACCCCGCGGCACCCCCTCCTGGGTACCGGCCCCCCCGATCCCACCGCGCTCTGCACAGCATCACGCCCCATCCCGAGGGACGGGACCTCCGAGCAACACCGTGCAGGAAGGGAGCGCACGCTGGCACGGGGCGAACCCAACAACCGCTCATTCCGGGAGGAAAGCAAAGCTGTGCCTTGTCGGGGGGAAACCCGGGCACCAAGCTCAGCTCTGTCTCGGGGGTCCTTTATTTGCCACATCCTTTTCCCAAGAGCTGCGGTTCCGGTCGCTCTTTCATTTAGTGTAAGATGAGATGCACAGTCTGCCCGGGTTCAGAGACACCGAGCGCACAAACCAAACGGAGCAGGGCAAAAACGAAGCGGGTTTCAGTCGCGTCACTATCAGACTTTTCCTAAAGAGCAAGGAAAAGGCAAGTGATGTTTGCCATTAAACTCACAATCCCCTGGTTGTGCCCTGCTACATCCAGCTTTAAATCGATTTTCCCTTTCACATTTTTCATTACGAAAAAAACAAACCCAGAAGGTTTGAGAGGCACAACAGCTGCCAAGAACTCTCTCCTCACAGGACCTCCCACTTGCTTTTCTGAGCCTAACAAATAAACATTGTTTTTTTAAAACATCATCCACCATCTCTATCATTTGTATACAGAGACAGAGCATCTGGGAAGCAGGAAGGAAGAAATTAGAACTCTATTAGCAAAGATTTGTCCTGAAGTGTGCGTATAAACTCAATCAGGGTCCGTGACACGCCGGAGCGCAGGCGCCGTCGGGAGGTTGCACGCTGATGCCAGCATCTAGGCTGTGGTAAGGGATTCCCAGCGGAGCTGGAATAATTTCAGTTCAACAGAAGAAACAAGATTGCGACTAGGCTGAACCTCCTAAGGCCGTTCCTCCATGCCAATATATAAAGAGGCTGCAGGATGCCAACCTGGCTCTGAAGAGCAGGTAAAAGAAAGATAAGCAGGTCCTTTGGTGCTTCTCCAGCTCCTAAGAAGCTTCTGCGCTCTGGGGACAGAGATACTGGTTCCTCCCTGGGGAAAACAACCTTCCTGCCTTTGGGGTGACAGAAGCTGGGGAAGGAACAAGGCAGGAGATATCTGTGTCGGGCTGCCCGTGGCTGACGACTCGGCTCTGCTTCGCCCGGCGTGAACCAGGCGTTGGCAGCAGCTGCCTGGCACCGAGCACCCCCCGGGCCGGGCTCTGCTCCGCAGGGTTTGGAGAACACGGCCACCACCACCCCTGTCTGATGGGACCAGAGGGAATGGCCTCAAGCTGCCCAGGGCAGGGTCAGGCTGGCTCTGAGGAAGGATTTCTGTGCAGAAGGGGCTGTTGGGCGTTGGAATGGGCTGCCCAGGGCAGGGGGGAGTCCCCGGGATCCCTGGGGGGGTTGAAGAGTCGGGCTGAGCCAGCGCTGAGGGATCTGGGGGAGTTGGGAACAGTCAGGGGGAGGTCATGGTTGGGCTGGAGGAGCTCCAAGGGCTTTTCCAACCCGGATGACTCTGATCTCTCCCAAAAGGCACGACAGCCACGCGAGAGCTGACCGCCTTCCCCTCCCAGCACCCCAGCCCGCCCCACATCACAACAGATCTCCTTGCCCCACTCCTCCCATCTCCCAGCAGCCCCACCTCAGGCCCTGCGCTGGCTGTTTGCTGAGCTGAGCCCCACAGCAGCTCCCCTGATATCCCTTCCAAGCCCAGGCAGCCCTGCCAGCACCCCCCGATGCCAGCACCCCCCCTACACCGGCCCGATTAACTTCTGTCCCTCGCAATAGCAGCTTCACCACGCTGGCGACTCCTGCGTGTGCTCACCCCTTCGCTTCCCACAGCGGCTCCCCTGAACAGGGCAAGGGCAGGCTGGCAGCTTGGCTTTACTCTGTGGAAAGTCAGAAATGCAACTTTCCTATTTTTGCTCTCACAGAAAGCTGCAGCGCTTGGATTTGAAAAGCGACACTCCTGGATCCCCGCTGCGCAGACACACCGGAGCAGGGCCCTGCTCTGGCAGCACATTCACAGGGACGCGTCGCTCCCCCCGAGTCCGTGTTGCACAGCCAGGAGACGGCGCGCAAAGCCGTGGGTTTCAACTGCATTGGACTTCAAAAATTAAAAAAAAATAATAATCCAAGTCTTATGTTCTGCTGTGAATGAGAAGAATCTGCAGCGGCGTTCTATACTCCGCTCATTATAAATTATGTTGTCAGGGAGAAGTCAGGTGAGGAGAAATTAGGAGGGAATCCTAAGAAGCAAGGGAAAGGCCAACACAGGACTGATGCTCGCAGAGGTGCGAGAGGACTGGAGCAAGAGAAGTGCACGTGTGTGCACGTGTGTGCACGCAGCCATGCCGGGCGAGCGCTGGCTCTCGCCTCGCCAAAGACACTACGAAAGAACACACTCCTTTTACTTCTTCACTGGCATAAGCCAAAGAGGTGAAACGCCCATTTCTAGTGGCAACAGACTACAAAGTCGGTGTCGGAGAAGCTCAAAACCATCCCAGATTTTTATTGCAGCCTCTCCCCCATATTCTTCCAAGGTTTCACCGAAGAGTTCAGTTACTAAAGATGGCATTAAATACATACACACAGGTAACGACGCCTCCTGCCCCTTGAGCAGAACGCAGGCGAAATGCAGTATTTTCTCTTCAGTTTGCAAAATAATTGCTGCGTGTTCAAAACGTTCATATTACAGCTCAATTAAGCAAATGACACCCGAGTCACTGCAAGTCATCTTTGTGGCAACTGAATTTTTCGCAAGAAAGCCCCGCAGTGGGTGCTCACAGAGATCGTAAGGACCCTCCGCTGGCGGATGGCGAAGCGTAACACCTCCCCGGGCACCCAAAGCAAACAAGAGGCTCGCTGCCGACCGCGCAGTGCGGGCTTTGCACCCGAGGCTTTGAAGGAAGCTCGGCACTTGGAAAGATCCATCCAAACATGCCACGCGCGCTCAGGAGAGTACTCCGTCCATGCAGGAAAACAGCCAGTAGAATTACACGGGCACAGGAGCTTAGGCCGGTAATCTGCCTTAACTCCCAATCCTGCATCCCGAGGCAGGCAGAGCCGACAGCTCTTCGCCCCGTGCCTGCCCCGGAGCACCAGGCTGGGAAGAGGCCGCTGCTCTGCGCCGGCTCCCCTCCAGAGCGGTGCCAGGGCGGGCAGGACCAGCCCTGCCGTGCCACTCCTCCTCTCATCACACTTGAACATTTCAAGCCTGTATTTGTCAGTTTAGAAACTACAGCACAAGCAGCAGCTTTCCCGGGTTGCTAATTAGACAGTTAATTTGTAAATCGTATTACATGGATAATAAAGTTACCAAATCCTACTGGTGAGCTACAAATGTCCTGAGTCATTTATATACAACAAAAATGAAACATGAACCTTTACCATTTGTTACTGCGTAACGCAAGAATGTTTGCTGGCCCTAAATTATTCCTTATAGCCACCTCCACTGCAGGCATCTGGGGAGACATCTCCGTCTTGAGGAACCGAAGGGCACAAAAACCTACAAAAGAGGCAGAGCCCTCGAGCTCAGTGACTCTTCACAAGCTTATGAGACTTGCTAGAAAACACAATTTTAAGAGCAGCCCCAGCACGGTTTCCTGAGAAATCCGGGGAGACTTGCCCCAAAGCGTCAGGGTAAGATCACACATCTCCATTCCCTGTGATTCTGACGCAGTTTGGGGAAGAAAGGTCCCCTAGAAGGATCGTTTTCAGAGCTAAGAAACCACAGTAGCAACATGGCACCAGGGTATTTTAAAACTCTAGGAACTAGGCTTATATTGAAGGATGAAAAGAGAGAAAATGCTAACAGTGTTGCTTAAAAAAATATATGTATACTTAAAGGCTTGTTGGCCTGAACCACTGCTCAAAAATCCTTGAGAAAAACCGCAAAGCTGCTTCCCAAACTGATCGCAGAACCTGCCAACCAGAAATACCTCATCAAAACGCCTTCCAGGAGGACGAAGCTTGCGGAGCACGTGTCCGGCTGCACCTCCAGCACGGGGAGGGAGCTCCAGGGCAGGGAGCGCAGCGCGGCAGTCGGCAGAGCAGCCCTGGGCTCCAGGCTGCTGACAGCCAGCCAGCACAGGCTGCTGAACGCAGGGAGACAGGCCAGCAAATT